GGAGAGAGAGGAGAGGGAGAGAGAGAATGGTTTATTCAATATGCTGAAATTGAGTTTCTGTTCTTCAAATATTATCAGGACTTCAGCATTATACATGTACATGTGCATTTCAAATGAGAAGAACAACTCTAAATTCTGGAAAATCACTAATATCCTGACTTACCTGTGATAAAGACTTGGTTGTGTAAAAACAGAAAACGGTCTCTTTACTCAGTGTCTTACCAACTTGATGAAACTATTCACGGATCCTGACTTACCTGTGATGACCATGGGCTTCAGAAGCGGGTTCACCACCACCTTCTTCGCAATCAGAGCTTTAAAAAGCTCCTCGGTGAGTTCCACTCCTTCCGGTGGCACCAACTCCCGGCAAAGCCACAAAATCTTCTCCTTTTCCTCAACGCTTTTCTTCGGTAACGTGTCGACGATGATTCGCCGCAGAAGTTTCAGCTTCCAGCGATGCTCCTCCGGGATTTGTGCGCCCAAATCGTCGATTAAACTGTCGTCATAGTCTCTCCTCCGGTCCACGACCTGATTTCTCACTTCCAGCTCAAATTTGAAGATTCTCTTCTCGACTTCTTGTTTTGTGACGGGGCCGAAAGTTTCCACTAAGGCAAGGAGCCTGCGAGTATAGGGCTGACACGTGTCTGTTTGGAAGGGGGCGTTTTCTGTCGTCTGTGCGATGTCTTGGACATATCCTTCCAGACGGTCCTTCTCCCAAGAAAGCAGACCTCCTTGGCTCAAGTCTTGAGTTCTACTGGTCCCAACTTGGCCAAAGTCTTGAGACTGCATGCCCCCTAAGACTAAGTTACTCGAGATTTGATCAATATCTTCAAATCTTGTGGCCCTGCGCCTTTTTGCAGTGTTAGCTGAGGCCGAAGACTGCGTTGCCTGGCTACTTGAAATTTGGCCGATATCTTGAAATCTTGTGGCCCTCTCAGCTGAGATTTGCTGTGCAACATAAGCTGGAGGCTGCAGGGGCCACTTCGGGGCATTTCCAGCTTGCTGTTGCTGTTCTAAGTGATGCTTGCGGCTTCTAGTGTCTTCTGGTCTCTTTCTGTAGCCTCTGGGACTTCGGCTGCGGCTTCGCTTTCTTTTTGTGCTGTTGTTGTGGCTGCTTCTGCCAGATTGTGATGGTTTTTCTGTGAGGTTGTGTCGGCTGGATCGAGAGCTGCGATCAGAGCGATCCCGTGACTGGCCACGATCGGCGCTAACGCTGGATCTGTGATCCCGATCCCGACGCTGACTGCTGGATCTGTCATCTCTAGTGGATTTGGGATCTCTACTGGATCTGTCATCTCTACTGGATCTATCTTTACTGGATCTGTGATCTCTAGTGAATCTGTCATCTCTACTTGATCTAGATCTGAGATCTCTACTGGACTTGTGATCTGTACTGGATCTGTCATCCCCTCTCCTACTATGACTATGGGATCTTTCTCTATCAAAACTCTCCCTACTGGATTTGTGATCCCTACTTTGAGTCTCCCTGCTGGATCTGTGATCCCTATCCTGGATCTGATGGCTGGATCTGTGATCCCTACTTTGAGTCTGACTGCTGGATCTGTGATCTCTCCTTCGTTCTCTGTCAGGACTATGATCCCCAGGTTCTCTCCTGGGTGTTTCTCTGTTGGGCAGCTCTAGGCTGTGAAGGGGGCTCGCAGGGGAGAGCCAGTCCTGGCCCAGGTCTGAACTGCTCCTATGGGGATGTTGATCGTCATGGATACGGTCACTATGGATACGGTCGCCGTAGATATAGTCACCATGGATGTTGTCGCCATAGATACCCTGGCCTTGGATGTGGTCTCCATGGATACCATCACCATGGATGTAGTCACCGTGGTTACGGTCGTCATAGATATGGTTGTCATGGATACGGTTACCATGGATACCTGTTCTGGCGTGTGGACTCACATACTCTTCCTGTTGCCGAGTGGGTGGAAGAGGCTGAAGAAAGTTGTCCAGGGCAAAGTCAGGACTTTGGTCCCCCGGGAGGTCCAGAGCTGGGGACCTGGGAGAAGGGAAGGGCTGGTCTCCTGGGGAAGGAATGAGAGAAAGATTGAATGGATGTATGTATGGCTAAATGAATGAATGTCTGTTACTTTATGCACCCAGTTTGTGCCAGCTTCTTGCCAGACACCAGAAGAAAATACAAAATATATGGTACATGAAAAAAAAAAACAGAGGTGCAGTTTGACATAATGAACCAAAACTGAACAAAGATATAAACAAAACAGAATGCAGGTATACAGACTGAACAATACTTGAACTGAGATGTCAAAGCATAGATGCAAATAACAGAGCCTATAGGTAATAACCAGAAATTTCACAACAAAAAACAAGTACACTCTAAACACTAACTCTAGGAAGGGTTTCTCACCTGTGTATCTACCAGCTGCCTCCTCAGGTGAGTATGAAGGCTCGCTGTACCTGTCAGGTGAAGTTTCTCCCCTGTACCGATCCTCCTCCCCCCTCTCCCAGGAGTGGTCTCTCCCTCGATCCTGCTCCCCCCTCTCCCACAAGTGGTCTCTCCCTGGATCCTGCTCCCCCCTCTCCCAGGAGTGGGCTCTCCCTCTCTGCTCCTCATCTCTGTACTGGTAACGTTCCTCCTCCTCCTGATACAGATGCTGGCTGTAGGGACTGTGGTACTCATCCCTCTCATCCCCATCATCAGGCGACCAATCACGCGGGGCCAGGTCGTCATGGCGACCGTCGTCATGGTGATTATCGCCATGGAAACGCTCACTGCTGTCCCTCCCATGGCTGCCGATCACTGCTGATGACATCATCCGGTAATCCACGTCGTGATTGGCCGACACCTGCGGGTTGCCGTGGCAACGATCGGCCTCCAGGATGTGCTGGGCATGCTGGGTAACCTGGACGACCTGGGTGACCTCCTGAGTGACCTTGAGAAGTACAATGGTACACAGTCTTCTGTCATTAGTATGTAGATTAAGTTACATGTGTACATTTATTTGTATATAATGTAAGTTTCTTTTTGTGCTAAATGTGTCTTTTTTACCATGTTATCTGTTTTATGAGCAAAATACGTCAATGAAGGTTAGACATCCAGGTAATACGATATGCCAAAAACAGTTACTCAAGCAACTGGATATGATTTTGGAAACGGTCAGACGTTTCAGCTAGTATCCACTAGCTTTCGTCAGTGACTGAGAGACCCATGGCTGGGCAGCTAAAGGAGAGTTGTTACACAATAATACACAAGAAACCACAACAAACCTTGTGAGTGTAGATCTCGTGCTGCATCTTGTAGATGTGGTCCTGCACGACGGCTTCCCTCAGTGCCAGCTCATAGTCCAGCGCCTTCCGCTCCCCGGCTAGCCGCTCCCACTCCTTCTCAAGCAGATGTTTCTCCACCTAGAAAGAAAAAGAGAGAATGGTTCATTGCATATAAGCACCACTGCTGAATTGCAGTTTCTGTACACAAACGTGTCCTTCAGATATTGTCAGGACTTGAAGGACAAATACAGTAATTTCAGTTTTGGTGCCTTTCAACCCAAAATCCTATTTGCAAATACGAGTGATATTTTAGCCTGTTAACATTAGCACATAAAAGAACATTTCAACATCCTCTGGCTTCTCTTTATCCTTTTCTTTCCAGTGGTATCTATGAGAGCCATGTGGTAACATTCATATTCTGGACCAAGTATTACTCAAATATTTACTCTTAATACTAGTAATACCTCAACAGCCAGCGGCCCCGTCTGACCCTGGGTCTCTTCAACTGGTGTCTCCTCTTGGCGGTTCATCTCTGGTAAACACAGAACAACATTCTTGTTTAGAGTTAAAACTTTTTGCTTCCATATAATTGTATGTTTAATGTAATGTAGATGTTTTGCGTGGACCTGAATTTGCTGCCTAGTGCTCCGCGTGTGTTGTCATTGCAATCTGAATAAAGAAAGAAACTTTAAGAAAGAAACTGAATTCTCACCTGGCGCAAACACACCTGACTGCTGGTCTGGCTGGTCCCACCTCGTCTTAGCCAGCAGTTTCTTTTGCTCTCCGAACACCTGTGGTCTCTTCGCAGTCTTGCGAACCTTGTCATACATCGGCAGATCCCTCAGCAGAGCTTCTAACAGCACCGGGATGTTCCTTCTCATGTTGGAACCGTAGAACCTGAACATCTTATAGCACAGCTTCAATCCCATGTCCGCTTCCTTTTTGTTTTTCTTAGGAAGGGTCTTGACTATGACTCTGCGAAGAAGCTGGAGTTTCCAGACCCAGTCCTGGGGGAGTTGTAGACGTGTTATGATACGTTCGAATTCGTCGTCGTTGTTGCGTGGGTCCGTCCACGCGTAGTCGACGTTCCCGGATAGCTCCCGTTCGAACCTCGTCGTCTGGCCTTCAACGAGCAGTCTCCTGTTTTCTCCAAAGATCTTCTCCACCTGCGCGAACAACTTCTTAGAAAACGGTTCGAACACAAGCATGCCTTCTCTCCGACCCTTCGCGGTTTCTTGAGACGTTCCCGCCGAGGAAAATCTTGCGGCAACGACTTCTTCGAGTTCCGTACTGTTCTGTGGTCCAAATTCTTCACACAGGACATTCAAGTAGAACTCCCGGAATTGCTCAGTCTGTGCGACGGTTCGTACCTTCGGCAGGCAGGATTTTATCACCCTTTGCAACAGCTGCAACTTCCAGACCGACCTGGGAGGCAGCTTGAGCCTTTCTGCCACAGAAATGATCGTCTTGTCCTGGTTCCCGAAGCTCGCCGAGACAAACTCTGCGTTTCCCTTCATCGGATTGTCTTCGAACTTCCTGCTATGGTCAAACTTCCTGATCAATATTTCCATCTTGAATTGCTGCCAGTTGTAAGTTTCCTCCGTCCAGGCAAACAGTTTCTGGGTAAACGGGTGATGGAGTAGAGATTCTTCTGTACCGTCTTCATTGGAGCCTTCCGTAGCGAGTTCTTGAGAGCCTTCCTTAGCGTCTTCCCCAGGTTCTTGAGAGCCTTCCTTAGCGTCCTCCCCAGGTTCTTGAGAGCCTTCCTTAGCGTCCTCCCCAGGTTCTTGAGAGCCTTCCTTAGCGTCCTCCCCAGGTTCTTGAGAGCCTTCCTTAGGGTCTTCCCCAGGTTCTTGGGAAGTTTCTTGTGAGGAGGAAGAACCAGGCTGGTTTGTGGCAGTGGAAGGGATGTCAGAACTCCCTACAAGAGGAGCTTCAGGCTGACCTACAGCTGAATTTGCCACATGTTCTACAGGTGAACTTGCCATCGGACTTTCAGCTGAAGTAGCCACATGACTTACATCTGTACTTGCCACATGACTTTCAGCTGAACTTGCCACATGACTTTCAGCTGAACTTGCCACATGGCTTTCAGCTGAAGGTGTCATGCAATCTGCAGCTGAACTAACCACCTGACTCACAGGCACAGCTGAACTTGCCACATGGCTTACAGCTGAACTTGCCACATGACTTTCAACTGAACTTGCCATATGGCTTTCAGCTGAACTTGCCACATGACTTTCAGCTGAACTTGCCACATGGCTTTCAGCTGAACTTGCCACATGACTTTCAGCTGAACTTGCCACATGACTTTCAACTGAACTTGCCACATGACTTTCAACTGAACTTGCCGTCACCAAGCTCTGCTCAGTGTCCAGCACAGTGTCAGTTTCTCCTTGCACCTCCTCACATTGCCTCTGCTCATTGTCTAGAACCATGGCACTCTCCAAGCTCTCACACTCACTGTCAGACATAGGCACATCTTCAGCCTTAGAAGGTTTGCTTTGGGCTGAGGAGTACATTTCTTGCCCCTCCTCGCATTGCCTCTCCTGATCATCTTTTTCCCCAAGCATGGGAGTCTCTACGCTCTCACAGTCTCCGCCAGTCATAGGCACATCTTCAGGTTTAGAAGGTTTGCTTTGGGCTGAGGTACTCATTTCTTGCCTCTCCTGATCATCATTTTCCTTCAACATGGGAGTCTCCAAGCTCTCATTGTCTCCACCAGTCATAGCGAGATCAGACTTTACACTGGAGGGTCTGTTTTGGGTTTGAAAGTGCTTTTCTTGCCCCTCCTCACATTGTTGCTCCTGATCTTCATTGTCCATGACCATGGCAGTCTCTAAGTCCTCACACTCACTGTCAGTTACAGGCACATCTTCAGGCTGAGAAAGTTTATTTTGGGCTGGAAAGTCCCTTTCTTGCCCCCCACCCGGCACCAGTACTGGAGAGTCCCTTTCTTGCCCCCCACCCGGCACCAGTACTGGAGAGTCCCTTTCTTGCCCCCCAGCCGGCACCAGTACTGGATAGTCCCTTTCCTGCCCCCCACCCGGCACCAGTACTGAAACTCCCCACTGTGGGTTATTGTAGTGAATGCGACCCTCTTCGCTGAATCTTGGCGTTCGGGCGACAACGACTTTCATGAGATATCTGACGTTCAGCCTGAATCTGTCACCTTCTGCCAGGATGGCTTCTCGGACCATCAGCTGGAGTCGGGCTTTCATCGCAGTGTCTTTTCTGGGGAGGCAGTTCATAACGACTCGGCGAAGAAGCTGGAGTTTCCACACCGATCCTGGATGAAGTTGCAGCCGCTCTGATATCTGAAGAAATGAATGAATCATTGAATTGATTAATGAATGAATGAAACAGAGAGGTAAGATTTACAGAGAGTTGTGTCTTCATCGCGGTGTCTTTTCTGGGAAGGCAGTTCATTACGACGCGGCGAAGGAGCCGGAGTTTCCACACCAAACTGGGACGAAGCTGCAGCCGCTCCAACATCTGAAGAAATGAATGAATGATTGAATTGATTAATGAATGAATGAAACAGAAAGGTAAGATTTACAAAGAGCTGTGTCTTCATCACAGTGTCTTTCCTGGGAAGGCAGTTCATCACAACTCGGCAAAGAAGCTGGAGTTTCCACACCGAACCGGGATGAAGCTGCAATCGCTCCGACATCTGAGTGAATGACAATGATCTTTACTGCTCGACAGTTGTAGATGGTACAATGTATGGTAGGAATGACAATGTGGTCATTACAATAATACTAGAAACTATGACTACAGAAATATGAATATAAATTGCATATTGGCAATGTACATTAACTGTCTGTCACAATTCTTTCTCTCTTTTCTAAAGTGCTATTGGCTAAATGAATGAATAAATCATTATGAATAAATGAAAGAATGAATGAATGAGTAAATGAATGAATGAATGAATAAATGAATGAATGACTCAGGTTTATTAAAAAGTACATTGCACCCATTATGTACTATTTACAAAAGTACACAATAACATTAACAATACACATGATGCCTTTAAGAAAATGTTGCAAAACATCATTAAAATAAAAACAAGCAAATAACATCACCTGGCGGATGGTTTCATCGTTGTTGTCGATGTTTCGCCAGAAACACGCCGGATCTCCATTCAGTTCCCCTTCGAACCGTCTGATCCGGTGTTCCACAGTCCACTTCTTCTGTTGGTTGTAGTGCTTCTTCACGAGAACAAGCAGCTTCTTACAGAATGGATCTAAGACTAGAGAGCCTTCCTTAAAGGGCCCTTCCACTTCCTTCTGCACTCCTTCAAGTCCTTGGGAGTTTCCTTGGGTGGATGAACTCGGCTGGATGGGTTCTTGTGACTATACATAAGACATAAAGACATCAGAAACTTTGTTAGCATTGGCATGACCAAATACATGTAATTATATAATTATCGCTAGTTTACGATGTCTGAGTGAGTGGGTGAGTGAATGAGTAAATTATTGCTAATTTACAATGTAATATCAAATTTCTCGGAGCATTAGACTTTAGATGGAAACATTCAATTTCATATGACATCACTTACACACAATATTTACAATTTTAGAATTACAGAAACTAAAATACAGATATACAAAGCAGAGCTTTCCCCAAGCAATGAAGCAAAGGTGCTCCCCCTCTCCCCAAAATCCTACCACCTCTCCCAAAATGGTCAAATTTGGGGTTTTCTCTAAGTACTTTCATGAGAAGTTGCTAATTTTTCATCAATCAATTTGGAAGCACCTCTCCCCTAAGAATTTCTGAGAGACCCTGAAAAGGTTCAGGTTGAAAGACTAACCTGACTTGTTTGATCTGGAACTGCAGCCAGTCCAGCAAAATCTAGGTTTCCACTGCCCTGTACATCGTCTTTCTTCACTGTGACCGAAACCACGGCTTCCAGTTCTGGGACGTCCTTGTTCTGAAATTCGCTGCGCAGGAGTTCCCGAGCCAGCCGTTTGGCGCGCTGATGGTGGCTGGCTTTTGCATGTGGCAGGACGATCCTCAAAACCCTGCGGAGAAGCTGGAGTTTCCAGACTGAACCGGGAGGTAGCTGCAGCCGCTCGCAAACCTTTGGAATATTTGTTTGTATTAATGATCATTGTGTATATTAGGATCAGATGTAGAATGAATGAATGAATGAATGAAGGAATGAATGTTTATTATTGTGCCTTGCAACATAAGACACAGCCCAGCTCAAATGGTTCAAGACACCACCAAATAAAAAAGAAAAATGTCAAACACGTACTACAAAAATGGTACAGAGTCGAATTTGAGACATGTATGAAGAAGATATATCTGGCTTTATTCTTACAGAAACGCAAGTCATTGAGTCAATGTAAGAAAGACAGACTGAGGGAGAGAGAAGGGGGAGACGGAGAGGGAGAAAGATCTAGAGAGAGAAGAAGAGATGGAGAGGGAGGGAGAAAGAGGGAGAAAGGGAGAGAGAACGAGAGAGATGAAGAGAGAGGGAGAAATGGACACAGAGAGGGAGAAAGAGAGGGGGAGAAAGAGAGGGAGATAGGGAGAGAGAGGGGGAGAGAAAGAGAGAGAGAAAGAGAGAGAGAGACAGAGAGAGAGACAGAGAGAGAGACAGAGAGAGAGAGACAGAGAGAGAATGGAGATATGTAAACAAACCTGTTGAATCATCCCATCATTGTTCTGATTGCTGGTCCAGACAAACTCCCCCGAGTCTCCCGCGAGCTCCCTCTCGAACATTGCGATCCTGCTGACAGCAATCTCACGTTTCTTCTCCGTGTAGTGGCTCGCCACCAACTCAAGCAGCTTCTGGCAGAACGGGTCCGAGACCAGCGAGCCTTCCTTAGCTTCTTCCGCTGTTTCTTGAGTGTTTTTTTCTTCTGAGGAAGGACCAGGCACGGTCTGAGCTAAAACTGTCAACGTGGAGGAAAGGCTCCCAACATTCTCGTCAGTCTGCCCCCTCTTCTCATGTTGACCCTGGTTCTTCTTTCCCTTTTGGTTCCACTGCTTGTTCTTGTTTCTTCCTCCTGGCCCCTTGAGGCCGGGTCGGTTCCTATGAACCCACTTCTGACCGGGTGCATGTGGGTTCTGACCCATCAATTGCTGACCCATTGGGTTCTTATTACCCACCCAAGTCTGGCCTGGTGGTTTGCGTGGGTTTTGACCTGCTGGGTTCCCACTGACCCACTGCTGGCCGGGTGCACCACGTGGGTTTCCACCCACCCACGCTTGATGGGACTGCTGTGTTGGGTTACGTGGGTTTCCACCTACCCAGGACTGACCTGGGTTGTTACTATCCACCCACTGCTGCTGGCCCAGCCTTTGCTTGTTTTGCCAGTTTTTTCCTCTGGCACGTTTCCTTCGCGGCCTACTTTTGACAGGCCCTCCTGGCGTGTTCTGTCCCGGCCTGTTCTGTCCCCCACCTTCCAATACCTGTTCTCTTAAGTCCACATCACCCATGGTGATGCTTACAACTCTTCCCTTCCTGCCTTCTGACAGAAGGAACAAGAGTCTTCAAACTTTCACTCAAGGCAGAGGCTTGAATGATCAAGAAATGCCTTGAAGATTTGTCTAGTTTGTCCAAAGAGGTTCCTTGGCTCCTACCTTCTCAAAGAAGGAACAAGGAGTCTTCAAACTTTCACTCAAGGCAGAGATTTCCTTGAATGCTCAGGAAGTACCTTAAACATTTGTCCAGTTTGTTCCCTTTTTGTCCAAGGATGTTCCTTGGTTTGTCCAAGGAGCTTTTTAAACTTCCTTGGTTTCTCACACCTCTCAATCCCTTCCTGCCTTCTGACAGAAGGAACAAGGAGTCTTCACTCAAGGCAGAGGCTTCCTTGAATTCTCAAGAAACACCTTGAAGATTTGTCCAAGGACATTCCTTGGCTTGTCCAAAAGGAGCTTTTTCAACCTCCTTGGTTTGTCACATGTAGAGTACCTGCATGTCATACATGAGTACAGCTCAGGGTCATGTGACTGTCAGCTTGGTGATGACACCTGTCAATCACTGCTGGAGGTTAAAGGTCACTGCTTCCCAGCTGGCAGGGGTTAAAGGTCACCACTGCTGGAGGTTAAAGGTCACCACTGCTGCTGGAGGTGAAAGGTCACCACTGCTGCTGTGCTGGTTGTTGTTGTTGATCAACTTCTTTCTTTGTGACAACGTTTGTCAAAGATGACAACTTTTGTCGGAGAAGAAGTCCTTCAAAACTTTGAAACCTGCAAAGAGAATGCAGAATACAGAGTGAGGAGTGCTATCTTATATGACAGAAATACAGCTACCATGTGCTGATCATGTGCCGATCATGTGTGCATAGAGCTGTGTACCGGTACGCAGTACCGATACTGTACCGGTAAAATTGATTAGGTACAGGTCCAAAATACCTAATCCCTCAGTACCGGTACTGTACCTAAACAATTTCACACCAATTTTATGCCTATTTGTGACCTCAAATGTGTAAATAGCTGGTTAACAATGGGTCCCTGTGTAAGGACAGTGTGTTCATGAAAACAAAAACATATATATAGCCTATATTTTATCTGAGCATTCGCCATAAACAAAGAATAAACCTTAACTATCAAGTTTATTTATGTTTTTTTTTGTTATTGAAGGAGTTCAGAAGAGCATATAAATTGGTCGAATTGTTCAGGTACAGGTTCAGGTCCGGACCTGTACCTAAACCTGTGTACCTGTACCTGTACCTGTACCTAAAATTTGTTTAGGTACACAGCTCTATGTGTGCAGCATGTGACTGACATGTGTGCAGCATGTGACTGACATGTGATAGTCACATGTGTCCACATATGTCTGAGACATCCTTATAGGTATACATATACCTAATATGGAAGAAACAGCTACCATGTGCTGATCATGTGTGCAGCATATGACTACCATGTGTATACCTTATATGGCAGAAATAAACACATCGGCAAAACATACTGCACCTGCGCAAAATCTGTAATGTATTTTGCATAGCACTTTGGCAGAATGTCTCATATAAGGTTAACATCAGAGTCCACAAGTGTCAAAAGTAAAGGCCTCCGATACTTATACAAAATACTATGTTTTTGTTTTGCATTTCGACATTTGACAAAAGTTGGTGGGTTTATGCGATCCTCTGACATGGAATTTCTTACCTAGTGGCACTTTGATGCACCTTAACCCTTATTCATCACCATTTTTGCCCACTTCTACATTTTTGTACTATCCACAAGTATGCATAACCCCATATAGGGGATCCAACTATTTAGCGGAATACACAGGAATACACATACATGAGTTAACATCCCAGATTGCTGTATTTTGGCATAACACATCATGTACATGGCCCTGATTCTACTATCTACATAATATTTAGACCTGGTGGAGGCTACTGTATACAGAACTGCATTTTGTACAACGATTTCAACTAAATTCAAGTTTTACCCTGGACTTCATGCTTCATACCATGTACCATCAAGGAGGTTAACCTCATTCAAACCCTTGCATATGTATTCTTAGACCATACTAGTAGATGTACAACAAAAAGACTCCTAAAGGCACGCTAGCTATGCACATACATTTGGTACAGAGGAGCAAATTTATCTGAATGCCCCCCTCCCCCATTTTATTCGACTCCAAACCCAAGTTGCTTCCGGCACCAAATCGAACATTTGGACGCTGTAGCTATGTCGTTTAACGTCTACGTTGACTGCAGAATACAACAGTGTCCATGTAACTGGAAATGTCCAAGATTTATTGTTGTTTTTGATCCAAAACAAGCACAGGAAAATCAGTCGTGCCACGAGCCAGCGTTCTGTCTCGTCATGTTGAAACTTAAAGTTACACTCTGATATACACGTTTTCTAAGTTACCAGTTGGTTTATTCTGCAAGTTGAAACTTCCTACAGGTGTACAAGTACCTGTATACATGGCTTCGGGTCAGTCCAAGACGCTTCTCTACTCTTTTTCTCAAGATTTCTCCACTCTTTCTTCCTCCTTGCTCTTCTTCCCTTGGCTAGCTCTGAAAATCGTCTGGGTCATAGGTCACCAAGATGGCCGACCTTCACTTTTTTGTTCGAAACTTTTGTTGACCAGGACATTTATGTATAATATTCTTCTTTAAAAAAAAAACCTCCAAAAGCTTCAGATAATGGTGTAGATTAGTCAACAACATAATTATTACTTTATTTTGAGGAACAAACTAGTGTAGGTAGCAACAGTAGTACACCCCGGGTTAAAATGGTATCAGCCAATCCGGGGTAGCGTTGCTGGTGGCTTTGGAGTGTACTACTCGAAGCAGGGGGTGGGCAGGTTGTAACATTGGCAGAAAAGTCATCTCCAAGCAGATGTTGGGAGTGACAGGTTGTTTTCTGGGCTTCTCTGACAGACCTTTGGCCATACATATAAAAAATGAATTGTTGGGTAATTTTAAGGGCAATTTTATAATGAAAACTGGATATGTCTGCATACACCTACAGTATATTCTAGATGTATGTAAAGATATCTTGGCCTACTTGGAAAAGTTTTTGCTGGATTCAAGCCCAATTCATTGGGAACCAACATGGTATATACATTATTCAGGCCTATCATCAGAGAATGCAGTTCGATCTGTTTTTCTTGGTTTCGTCATCCACTTTTCAAAGGCATAATGTGTATTGTCATTGTGTTTTACTGTATACCAGTAATGCATGTAGTAGACAATTCTGGTTCTTGCTGCTAGACCTAATTAGTATTAAACCATCCATTCATTTATGCCTAAGTATCTTTTTCACCCTGTTGCATATTTTTCTTTGAATCCAATTGGTGTGGACTGAACAATAGAAAGTTACAATCTACCACTGTTAAACAGCCCACTATTAGAAAGGCTGTACTAAATTTGATCATTTCTAACTCTTTCTACCTAAATTCCAAGCATTGAAGAGTTCTGAAAAAAGAAGAAAGCAAAATTGACACATTGAACCAACTTTATTTCAACTTCTCATAATCATTGCAGATGGCTGAGGCCCATTTACGCTGTACAAACTGACCCAAGGTTCACCAAGCTAGACACGGCCCAAGCTATATGCCTTAATTTCAAGTGGACCATACAAAGTTCTTAAGGTGTGACATACAGCAACAATAACACATGCTTGTGGTAGCCAACAGTGATGCGATTGCAATTGTTACAAGAACTACACTCAAACAAAAGTTATCTCTGCAAAAACATCATGTAAACACAATAAAGGCCTTGTCTTGTTGAGCCATGGACTGACTAGACTCTTACTAACACCATCTCTAGCTTTGCTGAGTACAACTAACTTCATCGAATTTTGCTTCAAAACAAATGATCCAAAAGTACAGCAGAACTATCAGTGTTATTTCTAAAACATCATCTTAGATGAAAATGAAAGATCTGGTACAAATTGTGCAGAATGTCACTACTGTCTTAGCATTTACTACTCAGTATCATCTTAAGATGTATCATCCAAGATTGTCTTAGAACTTGAAGACCTACAGGTAATATAAAAGAGCTTGGTTCACCTCACACAGTGGCACATACAGAAGCTGTCCATGTTTCATACACACTGGCACATACAGGAGTATACAGATGTTTCTGAGTCTAGCAAAGAGCACATCAGCAGTTAATAATCAGTGTTTTCCACAACGTTTTGGTCCATGTCTCAAACTTAAACCCCTACTACCTCTAAGTTGACAAAGAAAAACAGGTAAAGTAACATATAAGTATTCTCTAGACTTAAAGGGCTAATTTTTACTAATTTTTACTGACAAACTGATTTTTTTCCTTGGACCACAGATCTAGAGACTGTTGGGAAGATACAAGAAAAATTCAGGCTACTTTAAGTTTCATGGACACATTGTACATACTTACATACTATGTTACCTCCATGAAGGTTTGACATCCAGGTAATGAGATACACAAGAAAACTGTCACTCAAGCTACTAGATAGACTTTTCAGAAGAGTTTTCAAAATCTATCCAGTTGCTTGATCAGAAGTTTTTGTGTGTACCTTACATACTAAGTTGTTGCAAGTGTGACCAGGATTCACATTGTCTTAATAAAATGTCTCAATTTGAGTTATCATTTTACTACTGAAACACCAAAATCGAAGTGACAAGCGTGAACTGTTACTCCAACTACAGCGAGTGAAAATAAGGACCCGTCCCCCTCTACTCTCCCCTGGAGTTCTAGTACCTCTTGGCAGGTGGCATCGTTCTGTAGGGGTCTAAAATAAGAATCCATCCCCCTCTACTCTCCCCCCTGCAGTACTAGTACCTCCTGGCAGGTGGAGCTGTTCAGTAAGGGTCAAACCTGTTGTAAAATAAGAATCTGCAGTTCTAGTACCTCCTGGCAGGTGGGGCCCTGCTGTAGGGATCAAACCTGTTGTCCTGTGCTGGCTTGTGCCTGTCCGGGCCGCCGAAGCCTCCCCCGACTGCGGGAGCTCTGCTGAGGAGCTGCGTGGGCTGGGGCGGCTGCGTGTGGTGCTGCGGTGCCTGGCTGATGTACCCTCCCGCCGCCCGCTGGTGCTGGGACATCGTCTGGCCGCTGACCGCCAGGACGCGCTGACCGCCGCGGGACTCCACCGCCTGCTGCCCCATGGAGCCGGGCCAGCGCTCGCCCAGCCGGTTCACCGTCGGGTTCTCCAGCCCGCCCATCGGCCACCCGTGTCCATCCGTCCCCGGTTGTCGCTGCGGTTCCGCCTTCCGTAGCCGCTCGCCGCTGCTCCAGTCCCCACGGGAGTCACCACCGCCTCGGGACGGCGCCGAGCCCAGCAGCCCCGGCCGGTTGTCGCCCACGCTCCCGCCGATCTGACGATCGCTGTAAGACGACGTAGCTCCCCGGGACGGCGCCGCGGTTCTGGTTCGCTCGTCGGAAACCGGTCCCCAGCCGTCGTCCCGCGGTGGGTCTCGTGGGCGGCGCTCATCTAGGGGAAAATGGGAGTCGTGACTTTGCATTCCTACCGGAGCTGGCTCCCGACCAACGTAAGACATACTGCTAGTGGGATTACTCATACCTTTAGAGATGGGATCCATACCTCCTGCTCCCCGCATGCCGCCGCTGCCGGGGACCCGGGCGCCGCGGTTGTCG